GACGTAGCGGATGTTGGTGTGGTCGTTGAGTGCCTTTCAGTAGATCCTGTGTTCGTGGGGCTTGATGCCGACGATGCTGTGGATTCTTGTGACGTGGTGGACGTAGTTATGGTCGTTTTCTCCGCGGGTGTATTTGATGCTTCAGACGACTGTGATGGCGTAGTTGATGGTGTGCTGATTGATGCTGTTGATGTACGCGATGTGGAAGTTGGCACCTGTGTTGTGGATGGACTGGGGGAGTGGAATGAGGTCTTGGTGGTTATTGTTGTCGGTATTGTTGTTTTTGTTGATGTAATTGATTGTGTTGTAGATGGAGATGTCGCATCTGTGTTTGTTGTGGGTGATGGTGTTATAGTTGTCTGAATTTTCGTGCATGTTGTTGTGCACGTTTGTGTCGTCTCTGGTGTTGTAGCGGAGTTTGGTGACGTTTTGGAGTTTTGGTTTGTTGTTGATGGTGATTTGGGTGGGCGAGTTGTCGTCGATGTATTTATCGTTGTGCAAGTTGTTGTGCATGTCTGTGTTGTGGATGGTTTTGTGTCAGATGTCAGGTTCACTACTGGTAGCTTTGCTAATGCTTTCACGTTCGGAGATGGTGTTATTGAGTCCTGTGTTGTCGTTGCATATGGTGTGGTCGTTTCTTTTGTCGTTGAAAGTTGAGTTTGGCAGCATGCTACGTTCTGCGGCATGTCACAGACTGACAATATCGGATTAAAGCACAGTCTGGTTGTATTATCATAATTAATTGGACATTCTATTACAACTTTCTTTCCCATGTGACACTTATAAAATTTGTGACAGTCGTCTTTGTCGGCAATGTGAATCGTTTCATTTGTATCATGGATTGGGCATTCTGTTGGTATGATAGCTTTGCCATCTGTCAAAGCTATTGCCACTGTTATCGCGGCTACGATGGCCGCAAAATAGATGTCTGAAATTTTTCAAAGCAGTATCATCGTTATCGTACATTGTAGATCTGCAACTATCTAGGATGACCTCAGGTTAAATAGCTGGATTCAAAATATGAATTTAGGTTTTGTGAATTAAAAAGTTTTTCTCTGGATGTATGTTCGTACGATTCGCACGTGAAATATTGATTTTTAAAGTTATAAGACTATTGTAATGAGTAACATCTAAATGTCTGTGATTTAAAGATCAAAAATTACCGGTATGTTTTTGTTTAGTAAATAAATTTTCCTTCATTTACACTATGTAACTATAAGTTTGTTGATTGCTGTTGTAGAATAAACTATGTATGTAATTATAATAATGCCTCATACGTATTCTGTTAGTCAGTGTCAGCATATTTTGCTGACGTGGTTTATTTTCATGGATTTTGTAGTAGAAATGTCGTCGTTGCTCGCTGTAAATACGCTGTGCAATTTTCACGGAAAAGGTTACCGAATTAGATGTTATTGTCTAACATTTCAAAGTCTATAGCGACCTGAATCACTCATTGTTAGTGTAATACTTTGAACTGATCATCGCCGCATAATGACGACAAACTGATTAGAATATTGCAGCATTTCGACAAACATCCAGCAACAGTATTCGAAAATTTTGTTGTGTAAATTAAATTCTAGCTATTTAACCCGGGACTATACTGTATATTTCTAATTGTTATACTTTTTTGTTGGTATTTGTAAATTTATGGATTAAAAATAAGATTTCTTTATGACTGAAATAGAACAGGTGAAATAATAGTCCAATATTACTTGTATCTGATTTTGCTATTCAATTATATCTAGTATTAATAATTAATTGTTACTGTGTATCTGCTGCTTCTAATATTTATTTTTGAAAAATATTTTAAATCTGCCTGTTTATTAATGGTACCAAGATTCACGAATAAAACGATTCGATTTTGAAAATTTATCACTCTGGACTGATTTATATATAATTTTACTCGATAAATAAATGGTTCCGTATTGGTATTTGTTCTAAATCAATTTTATATCTTTTATTTGTTCACCAACTATTTCTTCATTTGAAATTTATTCAATACTTACGTTTCATAGCGAAACACACGTTTCGTTTGAATTTTTGAAGCGATACACGTGGTTATCACTTATATGATGGGTTACTGTATATTACACGTACACGTAACCACTTTTATAAGCGGCAAAATGTGTTATCGCCAATCAACCATTCTGAGTATCAGGCATGCTAAACAGTTCTTATTGATTTTAGATTAACCGGTTACACTTAATTGATCTAGTATTATGCCATGCAGATTAAACAAATACGTTTCGTTTAAGACAGTTCTTTTATGGGCATTCGATTTCCATATGAATTCAATTCTTAAATCATACTACACATCCTAATTGACAGACTTAAAACAATCGGTTGTTATATCACGCCGCGACTTCCATGCATCACTTTTATTGATAGTAAATCACAGTAGTATGCTGCACTAGTAGCTGATAATACCACTTCCATGCATCACTTTTATTGATAGCAAATCACAGTAGTATGCTGCACTAGTAGCTGATAATACAATGAATAAAAGGGTATAGCCGGATAAGATGGTCAAAAGTGCCCTTGAGCCAAACTGATCAGTGAACATATCAGTTAATAGACCATTCAAAGAAAACCATTTGTGTCAAATATCAACCCCGTACCCTTACTGAGAGGGTAGTTACAGGGCATAACGCAATTTTCAGTTTAAGCTGTATATCTTTTGTTGTATTGTATCAAAGAATTTGAAAAAAATTGGGGGTATTTTGCTCTACGGCGTACGTTGTTGTGAATTTTTTCAGAATTTTTCACAGCAAAATGAATTTTTAAAAAATTCGAAAAGTATAAAAATATTTTGTTTTAATAGAAATTATTAAATGACCACGTTTTTTAGAAATGGGGGAGCGATGTTGGAAAAATCAAAAACCGACATTTGCTTGTATTTTTACCTTAATTTTTGTTGTGACCATGTTCGTATTGTTACAATTTTAATAGCTTGTTACTGTTATAAATATATAATTTTTTGAGATTTTTTGTGGAGGTGTATCACATACAAAATAATTATAAATCGATATTTCCTAAGTTTTCGTTCGCAGAGGAGTAATATATTCGGGTAATTGATATTTTTACTTCATCGAATGATCATTATATGCATGCTCAAAATAGTTTAGGAATTTAGGATCTCATTCTATGTCAATGGCTTGAATTATTAGAAATATTTCTGTGCCACTACTTGACGAAGTTATCAGAATCATGGCCATGAAAAAAGATCTCATTTCTATTAAAAAAGACGGTTTAAAAATGTATATTAAGAACGTTTAATTTTAAATAATTTAAGGACACTTTATTCACTTTTCAAACAAGGAAGTCCGTCAATAGAAATTGGATTTAATAAATTTGCTCAGCTTTGTCCTGAAGAGTGTGTTAGCAGGAATCAGTGAAATGCATTCTGTGTGTGTATAAAAATGTATAATTTTTTGAAAAATCTCCGACAACGACAAACACATGAAGTTCTAAACTTTCTTTTGCAAATTTGAAATAACTACTCCAATTTTTTGAAATGAAATCGACTTTCTAATTTATCAAATTAGTCGTTAAATATTCTACCCTTTCTAAATAGAATCTATCGGTATTTGTCCATTGACAACACGAAATAAATATAATGAAATGCTTTTTAAATAAACTTTCTAACACTTTACGATTACAACGTATATTTGATAATATATTCTTGTATGTGTTCGGAAAATTTGAAGGTGAAGGGACTAACTTCTACAACTTAGCACCAGCAAGCATTAACTTCACATTTTGATGTGTGAGACATACACACACAGAATGTATTCCACTGCTAACACACACTCTTCAGGACGTAGCTGAGAAAATTTATTGAATCCAATTTTTATTGGCGAATTTTCTTGTTTTTAAAGTGAGTAAAGTTTCCTTAAATTATTTACAATTAAACGTGGCCGTCCACTAAAATAATGGCAGGTATAGCCGTCTCGTCGTTTGTACGCTAAAAGCTAAAATTGCTAAAAGCACTAATTTAGCGTTCGCTGAAATTAATTTTCATAGGGCCAATTTTAAGTTGTCCTTGTTTTTGAAAAACCGTTTATCAAGAGGACAAATGAGGCTATGTTGTAATTTTTTTTAGATTTTTAAACATTTCCCCGGTATAAAAGCAGGGCATTTCTTACAAACAATTGCAGAGAAAATGGTGAAAAACAATTTGTTTTTAATCGGTACATTTTTATTTGGTACTCTAATGTCTTTGCTACAATCAGTCAAAAGTTTACATATTTACATATGTGTAATTTTACATATCTGTAACTTCAACAATTTACAAAATTTTGAAAAATCCTTTGAGATACGTTTAAACATCTCTAAGGGCTACAATATATTCAAAATCGAACATGGTTTGAAAACTTACTTCAAAGAGTGTCCGAATTCCCGTGGTATGACCCAATATTATTTTTTAATATTATATATAAATATTTATTACTTATTTGAGTTATCGTTAATTTCTTTAAAAGAAATTTATATATATATATATATTATTTGTAGAAAATAATAATAGTGAAAACGAAGAAGAAGAAAAAGAAATTGATATGAGAAAAAAGTAATTTAATATAAATAGCTTAATAATGAAATATAACTTGAATTACGTAAATATATACAATTTTCATTCATTATTAATAGTAATTGCTTAATATATCACACAATATAAATTTATCACAAAATTTGTTCAATGTACAGTAGGGAATATTGCTGGTCACTAATAAGGGTACAAGGTGATCAATACATGGTGCAAGTCGATAAATAAAGGGGACACGAAATCGAATAAAATTTTCATTATAATTTTCTTATAAATAGTCAAATAACACTTCAGAAGTAATTTTGTTATAAAACTGAAGACTTGAATGAGTACAAGACTACATATTGTTTTTAGATATCATGGTATATCAGTAAAGAGTTATTAATTTTAAACAATCAATATTTTTATGCATTCAATGATGGTGACATGTACTTTAATTTAAGATATTTGACGATATAGATCTATTGCAATTCGTGTTAGACTTACGCATCTGTCGATACGAGGAAGATGGGAACGTAAAGTAGTTACTTTAATTACGTCAATTTTGATAAAAATAAAAGAAAAGTTGCGGATTTAATCTTCTTAGCATTTAACAGAGGTTCATTGAAGTATGACTCATACGGAATGAAATACCATACGTAACATACAATGAACCTGTTAAAGAACGAAGCATAATGTTTAGAATATACAGGGTGTTCGGCCACCCCTGGAAAAAATTTTAATGGGAGATACTAGGGGCCAAAATAAGACGAAAATCAAGAATACTAATTTGTTGATGGAGGCTTCGTTAAAAAGTTATTAACTTTTAAAGTTGCGCTTGTAGAACGGCAATTTGTGCAAAGCTGCGTACGCGTGACAGTGATTCTCACTCAGAAAACTGTAAGGCTGTCAATACGTCACTAAGTAGAGTTTCACATGCTGAGTGAGAACCACTATCGCGTGTACGCAGCTGTTCGCAGATCGCCCTTCT